TATAAAACAGTGTTGTGATTAGATTTCTAAACAACATGATTTTAAGTAAAACGTTTTGAAAAAATATTTAATTAGCACATGATTATAATTGGATTTTAAGACTAATGCCAGTAATTAGGAACCATAGAGTATCCATATGCATTAACATGAATCAGCACATGTGAACACACGCAACAACGTCGGAATAAAGCTCATTCTGAGATGAACTTTGAGTTACGCAAAGCCCAAAATATACATACAAAAACAATTCTTCCTAGGCCTCTTAGTGTTTTGTAAATACCAAATTCAAACCTAAAAGCTCAAAATATTAGCGGTGAGATTGTGGCCCAACGAAAATCCTGGCGTCCCCGACGATCGTTGTCACCGACGAACGTGAAATCTCGTCTTTTGTTTTGGGCCACTCACCCTGATCATCTAGAAACATTAGTTTCTTGAGCTACGTGGCTTCATTGGCTTCCACATTTTTATTGCATGCCAAGAAGAAAGAGTAGAACTCATACTCTTGAAACTGTTTGTCTGAAACTCTGAAAGAAAAAAAAAGGTTCGAAAATGACGGAGGAAACACCAAGGTATGTCTCAATCATCATCCCTTTAGCTTCATCTGTGATCTTAGTGATTTATCAGATTTTTTTTGTCTTTTTTTTTGTTTTTTTTTTGTAGATATGCTGTAGTTACTGGAGCAAACAGGGGGATTGGGTTAGAGATCTGCAGACAATTAGCAAGCAATGGGATTAGGGTTGTTTTAACCTCTAGAGATGAGAAGAAAGGACTTGAAGCTGTTGAGACACTGAGGCAAGAGATTGGTGTTTCTGATCAAAGTCTTGTCTTTCATCAGCTTGATGTCACTGATCCTGCTAGTGTCACATCTCTTGCCGAGTTTGTGAAAACCCAATTTGGAAAACTGGATATCTTGGTATGATTAAGCTAGTGTTTATTTTTTTGATTAAGCTGCTCCTATTAGACTTGCGATTAACAGTTCTAGTAACGCTTAATCTTAATTTGAGAAAAAGCCATATTCTATAAAATATACCTGTGAACAAATGCGAATTTAACCTTGAAGAAAGCAAATAAACTTAATAGATCAGAACACGATTAAAGCAACTATTGTTTATAGAGTTTATATATGAGTTAGTTAGTTAATTAGTTACAACCCTTTGATCCACATCTCCTATATATTAATTGAGAAACATTTGAAAAGATGTAACCTCAAGTTTGTATTAATTAAAAAGTAACATTGCTTAGTTGTCAATCAATTAGCATATCAATTAAACTGACGTGGCGGCTTTAGGTTCAATTGAAATTTGCTAGGGAAAAATAATTAGAGATGAACGCATGTAACATAGTTTATATATTTATATATATCGCACACATGTAATGAAAGAAAAGGAAAATATACGATTTGATAACGATTTGCATATATTAACTATAATAACTTCATTCCTTTTAATTTATGGAAGTGTATATGTAAAATGGAAAATACTTAAATTTAAATAATCATAACGTAATTTATAAATCATTGGTGTAAA